GATGGAAATCAGGATCCAGGGCTGGGCTCCCAGAACTGCACTGGGGGCTGTGAGAATCTCAGACTCAGCTCACAGATGAACTACAGAGATGAGGGGGCTAGACTCTGAGGCATCTGGTCCTCTATGGAGGGATAAGAGAGTATCCTGACAGGTTCAGTCTGAAGAACATCCACAAGCTAGTTCTGCTTGTAGCAGGGAATGGAAAAGGGTCACTATATGTCTTTTTTTTTTTTTTTTTTGGTACTGGGGATCAAACTCGGATCCTTGACCTTGAGCAGCAGGCGGCTAAACCACTGAGCTAAATCCCCGGCCCCTATATGTCCTTTTGTCTATGGGAGTTGCGCATCACTTTAATTATGTTTGTTGTGTTTTTTTTTCTGGTACTGGGGATCAACTTAGGAACTTGCCCTTTCGAGGCAGGCATGGTGCCACTGAGCTAAAACCCTGGCCCTTTCACCTTATCACAAAAAAGGAAATTAAGTTTTTCAAAGTGGTACTGTCAGGGAAACAGAAACATACTGAGGACTTCATTTTATTTTTGGTACCAGAGATTGAACTTGAGACCTTGCACTTTCAGGGCAGGTGGCAGCAAAACTGAGCTAAATCCCCAGCCCAGGACTTCATTTTTTAGTTCACAAGTTCAATATTTAATGTGGAATACTATTTTTACAGGGAAAAAGGGGTACAAGAAGAGCACTCTTGTTTTTAAGCACTACAATATTTCTTGTTTGCCAAGTAGCATCAGGAGCAGCCCAGGCCCAAACAGCCTGAGGGCCCAGTTGAAGTCAGGACAGGAAGGATCAAGTCCTCCATTGGCCCCAAAGAGAGGTGGAGAGGAGTTGAAGGAGTGTAGGTCCTGGACCCAAAACAGAACTCTTGGCACTTCTTTCCTCAGTGAGCTCTAGTGTCCGCACAGCTGCCTCTTCAAGAAGGCAAGGGCTCCAGAAAGCACCAGAGCTAGCTGTATTTCCCTGTAAGGGGAAGTAGGGGGCAGGTGAGATAGGGCAAAGGGTAGAAGGTCTGATAGGTTCAACTTGCCTGAGTGACTAACTCCAAAGGGCAACTTTTTCAAGGAAAGTGGACGACAGTGCAGGGAGGAAATCCTTCTGCAGTAAAGCATGCTTGCTCCCAGAGGGTCAGGAGTCCACAATGTCTGTCTACAACCAGCGCAGCTGCACTATGACATTTTCAAACAGCAGCTATTGACCTGTTTTCCTCCTGTTATCCCCAAATCCTTCCAGGCTCGTTCTCCAGCTTAGCCACCAGGGAGGTGGGGAGAGCAACCCTCAAAGCTTCCCTGGGTTCAGCTGGGACACTGGATGGGGGAAGCAGAACTGTGATGTGCATTTGCCAAGACAGGCAGGCAAAAGCAAGGCATCTGTCTACTGGTCTTTTGACATGTAGACTTTAGTGAGCCTATCTGGTGCCCCACGAATCCCTGCAGAAATGACAGCTACATCGCAGCTTCCCATGTAGCAGTTCCCACAAAAAAGTACAAAAGTACAATCAGTTTGGCTAGGGCAGTGGTGGCGAACCTATGGGACATGTGCTGCAGAGGGCTGTATCATTGAAAGCTGTAAAAGGTTCGCTATCATTGACCTAGGGCCTTTTAGCTCATTTTGGGGCCCCACACTTGCCTACTTGGGTCTCTTCAGTGGGCTAGGTGGTCTTGTTTTCCCACAGCTCCTTCTCCCTCCCTTCCATCAGCCCAGCCACAGGCCTTGTCCTGTGGCAGACCATGTCACCCATGAGCCCACACATTCATCACGGGGTTTCTATCCAGCCATCCCTGGACCCACACAGTAACAAGTTCAGCCTCAACCCACAGCCTTGTCTACCTCCTTCCAGTGACATTTGTGGAAGGGCCACAGGTCAGTAAGTCTCTTCCTTACTCAGACTTAGAAACAAGCGAAGGTCACAAACAGACATCCCTCTTTTACAAGAAGCTTTGGTGCTGCCTTTCTGGACTGCCTAAGCAGCTCCCCTCAGACTTCAGAACCTGAAGCTCAGAGCTGCCTGGAGCAAGCAGCTGAGAGTACTCATGGATATCTGCTCAATGTAGGGCTGGAAGGAGCTGGGCACAGGGCCTGCTGAGAGACAGAAACAAGTCTCTGCTCCCTAAGCACTTGTACCCAGCAAGAGAGATGTGCAGAGTGTGAGTATTTCCAGTAGAGCCCTGGGGATGGGAGTCAGGATGACATTAAGGCTGGGCATAGGTCTTCTGGGATTTTTTTTTTTTTTTTTGAGAGCAGAGGATGAAGGTCAAGTGGCTCCACACAGCTGAGGCTCAGTGACAAGAGTAGAAGAGTTCAGGAAGTGGGGGAGGTCAGAGGGTAGAGCCTATGTCCATGCTGAGCAGTCAGGAAAAAAGTCAGTGCTTTAAGAGAGAAATAAAACTACACTCTACCTTAGGATGCTCTTGTTCAGTTACTATAACAGGCATGGACAGGCACCAGAAGGCCAGGCCAGTGAGGAGGTGTGGCAGTCCAGCACGAAGGAGAGTCCCCCTGGAGATCCCAGGGAGGTGGTGTCCTTCCTCTGGGCTGAAGAGATTGATCAAACCCACAGCTATGCACCCCCTTCTATCATTTCAGCCTCACAGTCTGAGATAAATGTGGATGTGACAAGTCACTGATGTTCCTGGATTTCTATAGATACAATTTTCAGAGTCCAAACTGCTTTCACTTAATAACAGTTTACCGTCTGAGTACTTGTCCACACCTGTCACACAAAGGGCCAGAGCACTAGGTCAGGGGCTGCTCTGCCCCAAATGGCAATGTGGACAGCTGCCCTCCTTCTAGTCCTTTCCCGACAAGCTCATGAACAGCATGTTGTTTTGGCAGGCTTTCAGGGCAGCAGAACCTTTCTTTCCAACTGCCACGTATAAGGTAGTGCAATGAGGAAGTCAAAGGCAGCCTCATGAGTTAGAAACCTGCCTTGGTTTCCTCATCTGTAAGAGGGGGATTACCAGAGTACCAAGGCCTGGGAAAGACTGAGGAAGAAAAGGGCCAAGAGGACTTGGTAGACGCAGGGCCTGATGTGCAGGAGTTTTATCCCACAACAGTGGAACTGCAGCTTTTCCTGGAAGGCTTCCACACAGATGCAGGGTCAGGGGCCAGCATCCTGCTGCTCTGAGACTATGGTTAGTGAAAGGTCCCCATATATCCCTGTTAACTATGTAGGCTCCGAGCCTTGGGTCTAGCAGGGCTTAAACTTGCCTTCCTAAAGAGCTTGAGGTCATAAAATTGTCTGCCACACAAGGACCTCCAGGGATTCTCAGTTGTAGGAAAAGAGTGGGAACAACCTCATAGGAAGCACAGGATACAACACCACAGCCAGGCTGAGCTGGTATCCTACAAGACCCACTTCCCTGTCAAGTGACAGACCCACGGCTCCCTGTGTTCATCCAAGGGCAGGGAAACAATATCTCTTGCCCCTCTTCCCATTCAAGAGTCATTCAGAACTGGAGGGGCAGAACTACCCCACCCCTCAGCCTGCTTTGCACCTATGACGCAATGGACAGGGGGATCCCAAGAGGGGAGAACAGGCCCTACAGGCTGCCAAATGAATTGAGGTTCACTCATTTTACTCTTCACCTCACTCAATCCACTGCTCACCTGCCTGAGTTGCAGGATCCCAAACACCTAGGCCTCATCTCACAGCTTCCAAACCTCACAGTTGTTGCCTTTGGGGTCCTGGTACCTGTGATGTGGTCACAACCTCTGGGAACTAAGGGGACCGAAAGCCAGCCCAGCAGGGTACCCTGGCTACTCAACAGGGCTCCCTAGTCAGGACCAGAAGGGCCCCTTCTGCAGCTAGCAGGAAACACTGGTTATCAGGAGCCAGCCTCTATAATTTCCCCATCCGCTGGGAGGAACACGGAGAAGGAAGTGTGGGACGGCCAAGGTACAAATGAGTGATGGCCACTCCTAGAGGGCCCAGGCAGCTACCAGGAACTGTGGAGGGCCCTCTTCAACACATGCCCTCGTGCAATGGATCAGCACTTCGGCTGGGAAAAGAGGGCACTCAAGGACAGGCAGGCAGGGAGACCGCCACCTGTGTCCAGGGCACCTGGGCTGGCCTGGAGTGACCCATAGGACCAAGCTCCGACAGCCTGCAGAGCCTACACCCTCTGGTTGCCAACTAGAGGTCTGGGGCCCTATCTCCAGGGTGAGCCTCCCAGGTCCCTGGCCGCTACGCCCCAGGCCTAGCGCCCCGGCCCCAGGCCACTGTCCATTAGGTTAAGTCCCCTGGTTCTGGGCCGCTGCTGCTAGGCCGAGGGCCCCAGGCTGACACCTCTACTTCACGGTTCCGGGCCGTTGTCCCCCAGGCCGAGTCTTCTGGGTTGCTGTAGCCCAGGCCAAGCCCTTCGGTCCCGGCCGCTACTTCCCAGGCCGAGGCTCCCGGGGCCTAGGCCGATGTCCCCGAGGTTAAGTCCCGTGGGCCCGGGGCCGCTCCTTCGTGGAACTCACCTCTGAGAGCAGCGGGGCCTCTTTAGCGTTTGCGGCTGAATGGCGTCTCCGTGGACTGATCCTCAACTTCAAGGAGAATGGTGCAGCCTTACTCGTCCCTGGGCGCGCTGCCCCGACCAGCACGCCTCAGCCGCGGAGCTCCCGGCCCGGCCTTCTTACGCAGCCTCCGTAGAGCCGCCCAAACACGACTCGCTTTACGCCGCCTCCGTAGCGTGGCGCCCGGCCGGGTCCCTCGGCTACGGTGCGTCAGCGGCGCACGGGACGCTGGGACTCACGTCCGGACTACGACTCCCATAGGCTATGCGACAAGCAAAGCAGGCCGGGAATTGCAGTCTCTAGGTGAAGCCAACCTTGAGCTCCCCCCCCCCGCCCTCTGTTAAGAGACGTGCCAGGTTAACACAGGGAGGAGACCGACGAGGGACTGGACTACAGCTACCAGAATGCCTTACGAGGGAACAAGGGGCGGGGCTCTCAGAAGCAGCTTCTGGGCTGGGTCTGGGGTCTGGTCCAGCTTACTCCAAGGCAGGGCTGAGGGTCTTGATGTTCTTGGACCAAGTTGAGAGCTAGGAGGTCTATCTGCGGAGGGGTCAGGCCATCCCGTGGTTGCTCCCAGCCTCTTCCAGGTCCCCTCCGGGATGTCTAGCTCTGTTCCTGGCGACTCCTCCAGGGCTCCGCGTTCAGAAGCAGCGGTCGTGCAGATTGGCTTGAGTCTGAGGTACAGTCTCGTGAATCACGATGTCACTTGGTCATATGACTTCTCGGCCTGTTCCCTTAACTCAAGGGAATCTGTCTTTAAACTGGGCCACCCACCTCCCCCAGCCCTGAGCCACCCCTTCACGAAAGAGCTCCTTAGGCTTACTGTTCCTTTAGGGCCATTTGGCTGCCCCCGAGGTCACTCACACTCAAAGCTTCCTAAGCCCACTTCAGGCTGTTCTATCCTCTGTCCTCTGAGCGCGCGCCGGAATGGTGGAGAGGATGGGCCTAGGAATCCTGGAAGCAAAAGCTGCAGTGAGAGAGGGATTTGAGGGGAGCTGGGCCTTCGAGAATACCATGCAGGAAATGAGGATCAGACCAGAAAGAAGTGAGGCTCTTTTGGAGACTCAGGAGAGACCACCAGATCTGTGGTAAGATGGAGGTGAGTTTTTCAAGTGAGAGAGTGGGTGAAATTTACTCTAGGGCTCAGAAAATCTGCACCTATAACAATAAGCCCTCTAGGAATAGGGCCATGCACCAGGAGAGCCAGAAAGCCGAAGACGAACCATTGTACTCTGGATGCACACCTGTGTCCTGATGGGAAGGATCCCACTTTTAGTGGTCAGGTCAGAAGTTGGCTTTGAGACAAATCTTTGTTTGAGGGTCTCAGTAGATAGTCCAGCCTGGCCTTGCAGCAATCCTCCTGCCTCGGGCTCCTGAGTGCTGGAATTACAGGAATGCACCACCACGCCTGGCACAGAAACTGGCTTTCTAAATAGTCCTAGGTGGCAGGACATTCATCTGTCCTGGGAGACTTATCCCCTTGCTCTGGAACACCAGTCCCAGGCCTACTGGCCATCTGCAGAGGGCAGCTAGCAGGCTGCCTGGAGGACATTAAGGACTATATAGAGGGTTCTGCTCTTTGTAACCTGGGCAACCTCTCAACTTCCCAGTGTGAAGGGTGCAGCCTTTGGGCAATGTGGCCTTCACATGAGAGGACACTGAGAGTGGATTTTCAGTGATCATAGTGGTTGAGATCAGAGCTAATATTGCTCCTCAAAGAGGAAAGGAGCAGTCTTGTGACCTGCTTGCCATAGAAACAGCTAATATTTGGCCTGTGGATCTGTGGCTCCAGCTAGATTACTGCAGATGGCAAACTCAAGCCAGTGTTGCTAAGCAGGGCCCTATGAGTGGATCAGGGCAGGAACAAGGCCTGCCATTATGGTAGTCTAGTTGCTCAAAAGGGCCTAAGGAGGAATCTTAGGATTGTTGAGGGAAATGGAGGAAATAGGCATGATAAGGGACAAGGGTCTCTTCTGCATCTCTAGTCACACTGTGGTCATCCTTAGTGTTCTGAAGAAAAGCCTTTGGGTTATCAACTGTTGACTGAACCCTGCTCCGTGCCAGTTTGGTCCTTGTCAGAGGACACAATCTTGACATGTGGACACACTTAAGTCACAAGATAGCCTGGGGATGTGGGAGCAGCAGAGAGCCCTGCAGGGTCAAGCAGCCCAGTTCTCCTTGAACCAACTTGGGGCCCAACCCTGTTCTAGGCTTTGGACACACAGCAGTAAACAGACCAAGAGGCAGTCATGGAGTCAAGTTTCTCAGGGATGAACACGTCGGTAGCTTGGTGTGATGGCCATAAGATGGCCAGGCCAGCTGCTCAAATCTAAAGCTCAAATTTTGCAAATTACTCTATCACCACTTGCTTTATGAGCCACATACACCTGGGTCCAGATAATCAGTGAGCTAACAGGATAACAAAATGGAAAGGATTCCTGGTTGAAGTTCCTGCCCTCCTTTGGGACTCTAGGTCTGTGAACTGCTGGCAGGTGGAGGGGCCTATGCTCTCTGGGTAGCTGCCTTGGGGTCTAGCTAAATGGTGAGGTAACTTCCTATCCTTACTGCCAATAGGTTTTCTCCCAGAGGAGGGGCAAAGTCACTGCTCCTGTTTGCTTAGTCCAAGCTTTATCTATGCTGTTCTATTAGGCAGAATTAAAACTTGGAAGGTTCAAGCAGTGGCAATGTACCAAGTCAGGGACCAACTGGATACAGGATCCACCTTGGGAGGGGCAGGTCTGCTGGAGGCTCCAGTGTGGCAAACCCTGTGGCCAGCTGATTGCAGTGGGACGGGGCTGGGGGTTGACCACCCAGGAGGGACTTCCTGGGATCTCCAGGTTTCCTCTGGGAATGTCCCACTGCAAGAAGCTCAGGCTTCTTGGGAACATTTTCCATAACAATGGGTTTTGATCATGTCCTTCCTTGCCCCACACTATGTACTAAACGGGGGACTGTATCTTCCTTGGGCTGGAGACTCCATAGAGCCATAGGCTCCTGAAAGACCTATTGTGCTTCCAGCTACCCTAGATAGCCCCTGCTGGTACCAAGACAGATGACCACAAAACCTGGGTAGGTGGGAGGGCAGGCCATAACCCTCTGGACAGAAACTCAGAAACAGACTTGTCTGTGCCTCCAGATTTCTCTGTTCTATCCACCAGGTGTCCAGGGCTCCTGGGCCAGATCCTGGTAAATGGAGTGGCTCTGCTGACCTTCCCCAAAGAGAAGCCAGAGTGTACCCCCTCCTGGCAACTCTGGGTAGCAGCTGGATCTGAGCAGTCAAGACCTTGGTCTGAGGATAACCACCAAGCAAGTAGCTTAGTATGAGGGTCATGGGAGAGCTATTGGTTTGTGGTTTGCTGTTCTGGGAACACCTGAGCTGGGTAAGTGTCCTAAAAAGCTGATGTTTGGGCCTTTTTGGCCTACAAGATGCCCTTCTTCCAATCAGACATGGTTACTTCCCCTCAGAACTTGGTAATGCTGTCCTTGTGATTACAGGGCCACCTGAATCCTTCAGCTGCTCAGCCTCGCCTTCTATGTATTGGGTGCTTCTAGAGGTGCTGTCTCCTACTACCCAGCACAGTCCCAACCTTTCCTTTATCCCTATCGACAAAGGATGTATATCCTAGAGGGCAGAGGCATTGTGCCTGAGACTTGTGGAACACACACCCCTCCCACACTGATGGCACAGCCAGGTCATCAATCCTGGGGCCTCAGGAAGGGGCCTAGCTTGACCAAGCTGCAAAGCCAAGATGGTCTCCATGTGTCTGAGCTCTGAATCATGTGTCCCAGCTCAGAACTCTGAGAAATGCAAGGCCAAGATCCTGGGCATCCCACCCACCCCACCACCCTGTGGAGGAAGGAGCCAGCTTTTGTATGTGTAGTAACAGCTTTAATCTGTGGTGGCCAACACATTGGTCAGGACCCTGCTGGCCTTCCACCCTCCCGTGTCCAAGCAGGAGGAGTCATTTCTCAGGAGTTGAAGCAGGCGCCACGTGCAGGTTGGTCATTGGTATCTCAGTATCTCCTGGAAACTAGAGTTTACAGTCACAGCACTGCTGAGTGATCAGCAGAACAGGTCATAGTCCATGTTATAGGGCTGAGACCTGGGCACAGAAAGGCAGGGCTCCAGTATTTATATATTATACATATATATATATATATATATATATATTTCATGTGTATACACAGATAGTTTTTCTCTCTGGAAAGTATTAAAAAATTGATCCACCTTCAATCTATAAAAAATACCTACTCTACATGATAGAAAAATCTCTCTTCCAAGTTTACACTGATTTACACCAAAGGCTTTCCCCAGAATGTACAACACGAGGCAACATCTTAAACTGTAGTGTAGAAGGGCCACGTAGAGGGATGCAGGGCAGCACACATACACTCACGCTTGTGTGCACACTCATGCACGCGCGCACACACACACTTGCACACAGTGGGGTGGCCAATCTTTGTGACAGGTCTTGGTCCACCTGGGAATGCCCGGGGACTCCCAGGCTTGGGGAAGGCCCAGTAGCTGTGAGGTGGCACTGCCCATTTGGGTTGGGCAGGCACTGTGCAGGAAGGTCACCCAGTACTCCTGTGTCCTTAGAGAGCAGCCCTGTCCACACAGCTGCAGGACCTACCCCAGGGAAAAACAAAACTTCAAGTCAGATGCCAAGAAGGAAACATGGTTCCAGACACCTGGACTCTAGCCTGGGAAATATGGACTTCATCCAGGGCAGTGACGGTCTGCCTAGAGGGTGTGGACTCCAGGAGGCCAGAGCAGGTCATACCTACAGAACAGTGGCCCCTGTAGTGAGAGGGGCCAGCACTGTCCACCCCATTCAGGGAGTGAATTCCACACAGTCAAGATCTCAAGTCCTGGAATCAGAAAAAAGGGTCCTAGTGCACTTCTGCCTCAGCCTCCGCACAAAGCCCTTGAAGGTTACTACAGTTACAGTCAGGGCATGGAGTGGCTGTGTGGCTTAGAGGTCCCTGGTCTTGAAGCTGGACAGAGATGGCCATCTGGCTGGGTGATGGCCTGGGCTGCTCAGGGAGAGCTGGCAGGACACATGGTTCCCAGCCAGACCCCATACATACCAGCCTCCCCCTCCTGGCCTTCCCATACCATGTCCCATGGGAGGATCCAGGACTTGGACACCATTCAGGAGTGGCTGGGATGGGGTGGCACCATGTGAGGGCGCTTGTGGGGGGAACTGCACCCCTGGTAGGGACCCGTTTTCTTCCTTTCTGCCTGATAGGGCTGCATGGAGGGAAGAGGGGTCAGAGGGCTCATCTGGCCTGAGAAGCTGTCCCGACTCTGCACACAGCTTAAGAGCCCATCCTCAATGACCAACGATGGGCACTGTAGCCAGGCAATGTGGGGTGGGGAGGCCCTGCCACAATCCTTGTCTGCTGTGGGCTCAGTCCCACTCAGTCACAAGGGTTCCCCTCCTTCCTCCCTTCCCCACTGCCCAAGGAGGACCCCCACACGCCCTGGGCTGGGCAGGCTGGGGACCTGCTGGTCTTGGCTCCTTATGGTGTGGCGGGGCACTCAGGATGCTGGTGGCGTCCTGAGCCAGTCCACACTGGGCTCTGGTCCCCTACTTGACCTCCAGGATGGATGGGTTGGTCTCCATGATGGCAACAATGATCCTGTCAATGTAGTCCTGTAGGCGGAAGTTGATCTCCTCCTGCTTCTGGATGGCTTCCATGAGCTGTGTTGAGAGCAAGGGGTTGGTGTTGGGCACACAGACCTTGGGGCACAGACAGGAGGGGAACACTTACCTCATCACGGGAGACTGAGCTGATCTCTGCAGCCAGGGACTCCGAGAAGGCTGTGGAGAAGAGGCTTCTGGCACCCTGGATGCTGAGAGTGATGATCTGCCCATTCAGCTCATCGTTCTGCTCCTTCAGGCTGCGGTTGTCCTAGGAGGCACAGAAGCATCATCATGCTTGGCCAGGACAAGAAGGCCTGCAGCTCAGTTCCCCGTCCGGGCCAGCTGTTTGGTTTAGATCTAAAATGTCTCCCAAAAGTCTTGTCTTCAGAGGTGGGGCTTTTGGAGAGTGACTGGATCATGGGGGTGCTACGTTCATCTGTGGATTAATCCATTCATGAGTTTATATGTTGTTAGAAGGTGGGGCCTGGATGGAGGGATGGGTCACTAGAAGGCCATATTCATGTCCCTCACTCCTCCTTTCTCTCTCTGCTTCCTGGCTGCCCTTCCATCATGCCACTTCTGCTTGGGGCCAGCTAACCATGAACTGAATCCCCTGAAAATTGAGCCAAATTAAATCTGTCCTCTTCTAAGCTGTGGGTGTCACGTATTTTATCCTAGTGATGGAAATGCTAGTACTCCAGCCTTCGGGAAGCTTCTGTGGGCTGGACTGAGCCATACCTGCTTGAGCCTGCGGACCTCCTGCTCCAGCTCACTCTCCCTGGTGCGGCTATGGTATTCCTGCAACCCTAGGCTGCTGCTGCGGCCCCACCTCTGCTCTGCCTCCAGCTTGAGGAGCTGCAGATGCTCCAGCTGCTTACGGAGGTCCTCAATTAGCTGTGAAGGAAGCACAGGACAAGCACCTGTTAAATCAGCCTGGCCTTTTTCTCCCACAGTCCAGGAGGTCATCAGGCACCAGCAGCACTGCTAAGAGTAACAGCTAAAAGTCTGTCAAGGTGACAAAGGCTGCTCTGGCTTCCCCCCAGGAGCAGGCTGCATTGGGCAGAGTAGGGGGCATGGGAAGGGGAAGGCTGGCCCTGCTCACCTCTTGGGTTGCCTCCTTGTCTCTCTGGAACTGGTGCCGCTCATGGTTCAGCCTATCCCCCATCTTTCTCTTGTTCTCCTGCTCCTCACTGAGCCGCAGCGTCAACCCTTCAATCTCATCCAGCAGCTTCTGCTTCTCCTGCAAAAGTAAGACCCGTGAGGAGACATGGCACATCCAGCCAGTGCATACAGCTTGATTCTGAAGCTTGTCCCTGAAATTACTGCACAGTCTAGTGTCACTGACTGGGAATGTGTCTAAGCCTTCCTATTCAGGCTGCACTGCCTCATGGCCAAGGCACACATAACAGCTGTTTCTCGAAAGGCTGAGACAAAAGGTTAGGACCTGATTCAGTGTGTGCATTTCTGGTCTGACACCTGTGGCTTACAGGAGTCAGAGCCCACATGGTCTCGGAACACCTTCTGGTTTCAGAGCTTTCAAGGGGTACTTGATGAAGAATGAGAGGAGAAGAGGGGCCTCTAAGCAAGTAGCCAGGACACAGGGCCCAGGTTGCTGACCCTCCCACAAATCTGCAGGAGCAGGCCAACTAGAGGCCTCCACAGTCTGCCATGCAAGGGACTCTGTTCTCTGTATTCAGACCATGGGGTTGATCTTGTGGACCTCTGGGTTCATGGATCCTGAGTCCACAGGAGGCTGGGTAGAGCCCAGTGCCCTCTGACAAAGAGATGGCTCCTTCACACCTGAGTACTGCAGGGCCAGGTAATGTCATCCTGCCCTTAAGAGTAGCTGCCCCACTCTCTGGGAGGCCCTAAGTGCATTATCATCACACCCTGTCAGTGTGAAGAGCAGAGAGCACAGGAAACCCCATGCTCAGGACAGCTGAAGGCTGATCCTGGCACCCACAGGTGAGAATGGCCTGGCCCTGCTGGTCACAGCCTGCAGTCAGCAGTTCACCTCTTCCAGACGCTCAATGTTGGCCTTCAGACAGGGCGTACAGGACCGCAGCTCACTGTTCTCCTCATCCAGCTGCTGCAACCTGGGACATGAGAACAAGGCTGGGACCTGCTCTCTCAAAAATGTGCCTCTGCACATTTTTAAGGGAGGCCTAGTGTCTGGAGGAATCCTCCTAGGACCTGCATTGTGACCCAAATGCCCACATAAGTCTTCACCCCATGTAAGTGCTCCAGGCCAAAGCTTTTCTGTAACCCATGTCAGCTGTTAAAATATATTTGGGGTTGGGGATAATTTAGGTTTACAGAAAAGTCGCAGACAATGTAGCTTCCCCGGGGCCTGCCTTGTTTCCTTTCCCTCATGTCGTCACAGCTCACCACTATGGTGCATTTTTCTCATCAAGTACACACCCAGATGGCCCACACTTCACCAAACAGTCCATTGTGGATTTTCCACCAAAACCCAGGATCCCACCAGGGACCCCTAGCATCACCCCTCATGTCTCCTATGTTACCTGGTTTGTGAGTCTCCCAGATCGTCCTACTTTGTTACCCTGGTGTGTTGCCAGCCCTGGCCATGTGTCCTGTAGAATGCCCCTCAGACTGACTCTGTCAGATGTTTTCTCATGGTTAGATGGGGCAATGGGTTTGGGGAAGACTCCACCTTGGTGCAGGACCTTCTTGTCACACCTTACCTGACACCCACAGGACTCACAAGTCACCTGGTTAAGCTGTGTCTGCCAGGTGTTCCCTCTGTCCAGTCACAGCTTTCTGCCCACTGGGTAAGCCAACCCAGTCCATCCCCTAGGGGAGGAGGAGCCTGGCCACCTCCTGGATGGCTATCTACAGATACTTCCTGGAACTCCTCTGAGGAGTGTGTCTTCCCCATCTACTTACTGACTAGCTGTCTGTGTCACTGAGGTCTCCTGCATAAGTAGTTACACCTTGAGCGATGCCCCTGTAGGGCACTGTCCTAGGCTGTTCCTGCTCTGGTGTTGGAAGCTCTTATAATTGGCCTCAGTGTCCCTCTGACACATCCATGAATGTGTGTGTGGACACTCTGGTTATCCTTTTAGTGTGTTTGTAAATGTACCAAATATCTGCAGTATCAGTTCCAAGTAAGCACAAAAGTAATTCTGTAAAAGTCTCTTTAAAAAAGTTTCTTTCTTTTTTTGAGAAAGGGTCTCACTATCCTGCCCAGGCTGCTCTCCAATTCCTTGACTCTTTGGCTCAAGCAATCTTCCTGCCTCAGCCTTCTGAATAGCTGGGACCACTGTCCCCCAATGCACTTGGATGAGACAAATATGTGATGGGGGACATGGACAGGACAGACTTGCAGAAGCAAGGGTCAGCCTCTGAACATAGGTTTCATGGCCTTTGAGGAGAATTCTGAGGTTCTCTCCAGTTGGGTTTCCTCCTTTTTCTTTAGTACCAGGAATCGAACTCAGGACCTCACGTTTGCCAGGCAGGCACTATACCGCTGAGCTACATCCCAGCCAATCCTTTTTCTAAAGCAAAACTTTTTCCTACATGTTGTATCTTTTGGGACTCTATTGCCTACCTAGCCTGCAGGTTCTCAATCTCGATGCTCTTCTCTCGCTCCATCTTACACAGAAGTTCTTTCTGCTTTCTTGCCTCTTCTAGTACCATTTCGTGGGCTCTCAGCTCCTGTTCCTTCAGCTGTTCCTCCAGGGCATTGGCTCTAAAGGCAAAGGGGAGGAGACAAAGGTGTCTACTATGCCCAGCAGGTGATGGAACACTGCACTGATACTGGCTGCTGCCCACTGCAGCCAGTTTGGCCTAGACATTAAGAGCTAGGGAGAAGTCAGAAAGCACTTGAGGTCCAAGGGCTACAGAACTCTGTAGAAAGTGAACGTGACAGCTAAATGCAGCAATCCTGTAGTGAGAGTAACTGATAATGGATAACAAGATGAAAATGGAACCTCCATACTGAGCTCAGGACACAACCCTCTCTGGAGACACAAGACACACTTAACAGGCCATGGAACTGAAGCCCTTCAGAAGCATGGCTGGCCCCCCAACTCGGCAGCAGGAGCTAGTGGCAGGTACTTCCTCAGTGGGAATGCGAGGGGATGGGCAACGCTAAGTCAAGGCCTACATTTCACAAGACAACTTATTTCTGTAGTGCTGATTTGTGCAGCTTGGTCTGCAAGCTCTGACTCTCACAGAGCTCCGGAACTGGAGGACAGTCAGTAACATCAGCCTCATGCAGAGGGAGACACCTAGCTTTAGGAGTGCTGGGTCATCAAGGGGACACCTACTACCAGCACACAGTGACAAAGTGTGGCCTTTGTCCAGTGCCATTCAGAATTCTCAGCAACCACATACTCAGGTTATGGATGAGAAAACAGGCTCAAAGCCCCGTTAGGTTGTGTCAGAGCTAGCATGTGGCTCTGGCAGTCTGGCCAGCACAGCAGCTCCAGGCAAAGAATCTCTCCCATGGATTCCACAAGTGCCCCTGCCCCAACAGCAGATTCCCCTCAAGACTAAGCTCTTCTCATTGTGCATGAGAAACATTACTGTGAATACACACATCTGGCTGGAGAATGCAGAAAAATCTGCATCAGAAGGGAACTTGTCCCTTCCTCGGTGCAAAACCAGCAGCTGTGCTTCATTTCCTTTTTAGCACCTCCACCCAGGCATGACTGGACTACAGATCCTGTCTCCTGCTCAGTGTGCCTTTCCACTACCAAGTGGCTTCCACAGCCAGGAATCCTCAAAGATAAATCCTGCCCCACACAGGTGCTCCCTGACCTGTTCCTCCACTGCAGGGCTTTGCCCTCACCCGCAAAGCCCTCCTGCTGTCTCCAAGGCCCTGCCATAATCTTAAGTTCCCTACACCTCGGTTTTACCATCTGAAATGGAGATGGTGTCTGCTTCTGTGGTGACAGTAAGATGACTGGGACTGCAGATGAGATGTACAAAGTATAGTAAACATCTTGAAGAAACATGCCCCCACCCAGGGATCGGTGCTATGAGGGTGGGGCTCAGAAACAGGGCACAAGCTGGAGGCCAGCAGCAGGTGGACACTGGGCCAGCCCTAGGAAGGCTCCCAAGTTCTCCAGAAAACTTACCTAGAGGGGATCCATGTACAATGACACCCACCATGAGCTGAGAAATACATCTCTTCTGGGTTTGTTCTGATCCTGGGGACCAAGCCCATGGCCCAGCCTGCCATGCATGCCCTCCTCCACCACCCATGCCTCAGTCCCTCCTGTGGGCTTTAATCTGTTCTTCTCAGTGGCCCCCAGGATGAGCTTTGTGTCTTGTGTTCACTGCTCACTATCAGACCTCTTTTGCATGGGCATGGGCAAGGGGTCACCTTTCCCTTGCTCCTCTAGGGCCCTCTGTGTCTAGGCCCAGATACCTGCAGGGGAGAATACTCAAATGAGAGTCTCAGGTCTACCCAGCCAGCACCTGAATTGACGTGCATTTCCAGGTGAGCAGGACCCTGCTCACCTGTGCACCAGTTGGAGGTTCTCCTGCCTCAGTCTGCTGTGCTGCTCCCCTGCGGCCATGCTGTCCTTCTCCAGTTCTGACACCCGCCTCTCCAGGAAGATGACCTTGGTAATGAGACACAGCTTGAACATCAGGGAGGAGAGGGAGGAGGGCTGCATCCCCAGGGAGCTTCTAGGGGGCAGCACAGAATCCCATAAGTGCCCAGCTGAGCTGGGGTTTTATTCAGCCCTGGCTGATACTGCCCCAGGAACCCCCCGCAGCTTTCTACTGGGTCACTCTGTCACCACCACAGAACAAGGAACACACTATAGTTCTGAGATCTGAGGGCTCAAGAGCAGCCTTCTAACTGCACGCAGAGCAGTGAGGGAGTGAAGGCCATAGTCCATGACACAAGCAGGGCCCCTGCTCTGCCCCACACAAACCATGGAGGAGATCCAGGCAACTGGGGACATAAGTGACAGAAAGGCCCATGTCTCAGCCCCTCTCTTCTTCAGGGGGGGTTCATGTGAGAAGGGAGACAGACAGCACAAAAGCAGGAGGAATGATGGCAGAGAAGGAAGAGCACAGCCTAAGACTGCAGCATGCAGATGTTGAGATTCCATAGAGGTGGAGTGCAGGAGGGGGCACAGATGAAGTGCAGGAGATAGCAGGAGGGATGGGATATGGGAGGGGGTGGAGATGAGGTGCAGGATGATCTAGGAGAGATGGGGTGCAGGAGGAGTAGAGGCAGAGTGTAGTAGAGGGGAGAGATGGGGTTTGGGGGGTAAAGACAGGGTGTGGGAGGGAAGATGGCGTACGGGATCAAGTAGAGACAAATGGGGTAGGAAAGACAGATGCAGAAGAGGGAGGAGATGGTGCAAGAAGGGGTAGAGATAGAGTACAGGACTGGGTGAGGAAGATGAAGTGAAGGGGAAATGGGGTGTATGGGGAGAGATGGGGGTGTGGGGACACAAGGGGTGCTGTCGCCCCTCCCCAAGTCTCAGGCTGGCCTTGGGAAGCAGGGGTTTGACCTCTACAGTTCCCTGCCCTGTGGCCAGGGCAGGCCAAATGTCCAGGTCTCATGGGCCCTAGTAAGTTGAATCTCTGGGTATTCCTGCCACTGTCCCTGGGCTGTCTCCTCTGTGCGCACAAAGGGACTCATGTAGTATCTGAAATCCCAGCTCCCACTCCAGCTCCAGTCCTTTCTGATGCTCCAGTTGCTCCCATAAAATTCTCTTCATCCCATAGTCACTGAACCCTTGAGGGAACTTGCTGAGGAATGTCAAGGCTGTGTGGTCCATCTAATTATCTCTAGTGAATGCCACTGCCAATTTCTGTTGGGCTATCCAGACAGCATCCCCCAAGTGCTAAGATAAAGCCAGGTGTCTTTTCAGCCACCCAGTGCCCACAGAGTACAAGACAGCACATTTGGGGACAGCCTCAGACCCTGGCTGCAGTTGGCTTATACTGCCCATAACCTGCTCCTGGGCCCTCAGTCCTCAGCACTCAGTGCCTACCTTGTCAGCAATGTCCTCCTCTGGGGCCTCCACAGGCTCTGATGGAGCATCCTCCAAGGCCTCCATGGTCAGGGCCCCCGACTGGTGCAGGTACCTGTGGAAAAGAATCAATAGCAGAGGGAAGAAGGGGGAAAACAAAATGGTAAGCTCTCCCAACACCAGCACTGCCAAGTCCCTCTGAAAGGCAGACAGTAGCATGACAGCTACAGGCTCTCTGCTCCAGAGGCTGTGGTCTTCCTGATCAAAGCACTGAGCAAACAAAGTTTCTGGGCCAGTCACCTTTACTGAGGGGCCAGGAGAAGGCGGCACTCTGGTTTCAGAGTCCTCCTGGCACTCTTTGGAGCCTGAGAGAACATGACCTCTCTCCCTGCCAGCTGTGCTTAGAGAAGGGCACTTTGTACTTATGTGCAATAAAACATAACATTGTTCCTCACCACGATAGGAAACTGACTGTGCTTCCACCAGAGACCTGTCAAATATTAATTCAGAATCCTGACTCCTGTACATGGCACCTAGAGACCACTGTGACACTTGTCAAGCATATACCCTGGGGCAGTGACAGCTTAGGATTTTGAGGACAGGTGTGAATCTAGGATTCCTACTTGGGTCACACCGTGGTTACATGTGGAGCCTGGTTCAGCCATGCTTGGGAACACCCAGACATGGATATCCATCCCTGGAGCACCAGCCAGTGGACAGGATGCATTCAGCCCAGGGCTCTGGGACAACTGGCCCTGAGGGCCTCACGCCTCACACTGTGGCCTCATGAAGGAACTGTTCCTTCCTTCAGTGCCTCATCAGATCCCAGTGAGTACCTTTACATGGTTCTAGCTAACCTCATTTGTTGTGGTGGGTCTCCATCAACACTACTTAGCAGGATTCTATAAAACCCTCAGAATATCTGTATAAATGTGCCAACAGCAAGCCTGCATATAGAGTTCTTTCCACACCCTGGGACCCTTGATGCTGAGCCATACTTTAAGCTTGACAACTCAACACTTGCAGCTGAATGACAGAAAAAGACTCACTTTCTCTGAGCCTCATTCTCCTATAAAATGGGGATCTGCCAGCAATTACGAGGTTTAGACAAAGGTATGTTTATAAACAGCTTTGCGAAGGACATAGCTCATACTAAGAATTCAACTGAGTGGTAACAGTAATCACACTGAAAATGTCTACTTCATCTTATCAATAAATGAAGCTGTTGGGCTGGGGATTTAGCTCAGTGGTTTCGCTGCCTGCTGCCCAAGCGCAAGGACCCGCGTTCGATCCCCAGTACCAAAAAAAATAAAAAAATAAAAAATAAATGAAGCTGTTTCCTTTTTAGCACTGAGTTTCTATATTTCCTTTTCAGTCATAAATGTTCTAAGGAGAAAAGAAAGTAGATGCCTCCAACCCCTCGACCACAAACTTGTGCTCGTGGGTGCTTCCAGAAAGGGCTGGCTCTGGGGTTTTCTTGAATTCTCAAAAGTACTGCCAGACATTGTGTTCTCAGCTATTGCTGCTCTTAAACACCCAGAACCTCAATCGCAATGTGATCCCACTGCCAGGCCCAGGAGCGGCTTATCTCAGACCCCAAAGATCACCCTGAGCAGGGGCTATGGCACTTCCAAAGGCTGACCCAGGTACAGGAAGGATGTACCTGTCCCCAAGTGTCCAGCATATGGCCTGGCCTACCCCCTCTCAGGAAATCCCCTCCTCCCTTTCCTGAAAAGGGACTGTGGGAAGTGCCTGATCCACCCCAAAAAGAGGCAGGTAAAGTCTGGCAGGTGGACAAGTTGCTGGGGTTCCTGAAATCCAACTTTTGCCTGGGGACTGGAGGGGTAATTTGCCTGTTGAGGGTCCCACTGGTGCTTCTTCTTATCCTGGCTGACCCAGTTCTGTCCCATTTGCCTCAGCAAATGAGAGCCATTTCCACCTCCACAGATAGAGAGGAAATAGGCTCAAAGAGGTTTTGGACACAGCCAGCCACAAGGCCACAGATGGCCACTGCAAAGTCCACCATCTCAGCCACAATGCACTTGCAAATGACTGGGAACTACACAAAGTGACGTGTAACAGTGACTTTGTTTTCTGTTCTAACACTCTGGAGGCAGATTTAAGGACAAATCAGCAGCAGATTAAAATTTGCATGTACATTTATATGGAGATGTCAGTGCAATACAGAATAGGCCTCAGCATTGTAAACCCTTGCTACAAATACTTGCGGGTTGGGCCTTTTTTTTTTTTGGTACTGGGGATAGAACTCAGGACCTTGCACTTGCAAGGCAGGCATAGTGCCACTGAACCAAATCCCTGGCCTTGGGCTTTTTTTTTTTTTTTTCAAACACCAGAGTGTAACAGAATAAATTTTTGGAACGTATTTCAAAGGATGGACCCCTTGTCCAGCCAACCCTCTATTGGTGCTACAAGATTCCTCTCAGCTTGTTGGGAGCCCTTCCTCCCCACTTTGCACAAGGTGTCTCCAGGCACAAAGCCCCATAGATAGATATACAACCAGCCCCAGCGTCTGTTCAGAAGTCAGGTGTGGGAGGACGAAGAGATGGCAAACCTTTCTTAGTGCCACTGCTTACTGCCTATTTGGGTGAAAGGCTTTGATGACAGTGAAAAGCCAGTTAAGCTGTGATACGCACTGAAATAGCAGCTGGGATTCATGTCATATTCACAAGTTTGATGCCCTTCTCAAAGGTTGAGCAGGGCTGGGGATTTAGCTCAGTGGTTTCACCACCTGCTGTGTAAGTGCAAGGACCGGAGTTTGATCCCTGGTACCAAAAAAAAAAAAAAAAAAAAGGGTTGAGTGAGACAACCACCAGAGAAGATGGAGTGCAGACCCTGACCTCTGCCTCCCCCAGACTCCAACCCTTCAGAGCCCCCAAGAAGCTCCAGAATGAGAAGGAGGAGGCAGGGACATAAACCAAGATAGCTCCAGAACTTTTGCTCATCATAAATAATGGAAAAAAAAAAGTCAAAAGACTCATCATAAAATTGTAAAACTTGAGGGACAAAGAAAACATCTTAATACTTCTAGACAGGGAAAAACAGTCACAAAGAAAAAAAATCAGCCAAATATACACCTGTAATCCCAACACTCAGTAGGCTGAGGCAGGAGGATTGCTGTAAGTGCAGCCAGCCTGGGCTATATAGTGAGTTCAAAGCCAGCCTCAAGTATATAGCAAGACCCTGTCTCAAAAATCAAACAGAGAAGGGCTGGGGATTTAGCTCAGTGGTTCTGGCACCTGCCTCGCAAGCGCAAGGTCCCGAGTTCAATATCCGGTACAAAAAAAAAACAACCAGAAAAACACAAAAATCAAAGACCATTAATCAAAGACCTCAGCAGCAACCCTAGCAGCAGATGGCATTAGTAACACCTTCAAACATTTTAAAGGGAAACCATCCACAACCCAGCACTCCACATCAACCACAGGACAAGAGCAAAATTACTACAAGGTCTTGGGAATGTACCTTTTGGGACCTCTTTTCTCAAGAAGCTACAGGCAGGTGTGCCAAATGGAGATAAGAAATGGGAAAGGAGAGAGGCAGAAAGCTAGATGAACCAATACCTGAAACAAAGGAACTTGCAGAGTGCAAGAGAGACATGGCCAAGATCACAATGATGAAGCCCAGAGACAGTCTGAAGAGGGGAGTGGGGCCCAGGAGGAATGCTCGCAGGGGAGAATCTAATGTTCTTAGCAGAGGGCTGGGCAGTGGGGATAGGATGGCAATTCAGAATACTTAGAAAATAAGCTGGGCATGGTGGTGGATGCCTGTGATCCCAGCACTCAGGAGCCTGAGGCAGGAAGACTGCTGCAAATTCAAGGCTAGCCTGTCTCAAAAAAGTACAAAACAAAAAAACAAGCAAAAAAAGATGAAGCAAATAAAACCATGAGAGCAATCACCAACTCCAGCAGCAGCAAATCCTTGTCAAAATGAAGACATACAGCAGGAACAAGGATAGACCTTGGGAAGGGCACTGCTATCTTACAGATCTTGGACCTTGATTTCAGCAAAGACTGTCACAGAGCTGGCCTATGGAGGTGACGTGCTGTCAACTTCACAGCAAGAACAAATAGGACCAAAGCCAAAAGCTGGCCTTCAGGACTCAAAGCAAGGCCAATCCTTCACCGCAGCTCACTGTGGAAACTACTGGTCAGGAAGGGAACAGACTAGGCAGGAGGCCATCCAGACCCAGCTCCGAGCTGGTAGGCCTCTTGCTGGGTCTCTCTGCTTGCAGTGACCTACAGCAGATAGGGTGCCTGGAGTCCCCTCCCGGCCACTGCAAGACACATAGCAGAGAGTGCCAAAAGCTTCTCAGTCCTCAATCCAGGCCCAACCCTCAACCCTAGAAATTCCCCCCACATTCTATCACCTCGAATTACTTTGAATTACTTGTCTCCACCCCAAACCATGGAAAGTAACTTTTTAAAGCTTTTATGAATGCCCTGGAAAAGAATGTCTTATGGGGGCCAGGGATTTAGCTCAGTGGTTTCGCTGCCTGCTGCGCAAGCGCAAGGACCCGAGTTCAATCCCCAGTACCAAAAAAAAAAAAAAAATGTTTTATAAAATGTTCTTTTAAAAACTACCAATACATTTTAGAACATTTTCAGCAAGTGATCGAAGTTCTGCCTACCTTGCCACCTTCCTGCTGGAGAGTCGCTTGGCTGGGCTGTGCAAAAACCAAACAAACAGGAAAATCATGTCAGGGAGCAGAAGGACAAGAGGAAGCAGGAAGCTCAGGCTGAGGAGATAGCAGGGTGCAGGCATGCAGCCCCCTACCCCAGGCAAGCCCCATGCATAGAATACCCACTCAGCAAAGACAGGGCTACAACACCGTCTCTGCCCAGCCTCCTTATTCTACCCCCAAGGCCCTACAGATGAAGTGGAACTAGACTGTAGTCCAGAGCTGATACCAATGCCTGTACCAGGTCATCTAAAGCCAGATTCACCCCTGCCCCTGACTCACGCTTGGCCACTGGAGGCCTCCAATGAAACAGGACATAGCCCTATCAGTGATAGAAAGGTTTTAACTTAGGCACTGACACTTCACATTCCCAACACCTACAGGTAGGGCAGAAATTTAGATGATTCTTCCCGAAGCCCTTCTAGGATGAGTGTGGTTAATTTTACAGAGGATGTAGCCATCTGCAAAGGCAGAAGGGCCACGTGTACCTCTTCCTCTTTCCTCTCTCATTTCTTTTTTTTCTTTCTGTGTTTTTTGTTTTGTTTTGTTTTTGAGATAGAGTCTCGCTATGTAGTTCAGGCTGGTCTGGAACTCACTGTGTAGCCCAGGTTTGGCCTTGAACTCCCAGTGATCCTCCTGCCTCAGTGTGTGCTACCACTCCTGGACCACTCCTCTCTCATTTCTGAGTGTTACTTCCCCCACCAAACTATGAGCCTCAGGCTGAAGACAACTTGTTTCCAAGCACAAGAACCACCTGCCAGGAGGAACTCGTAGCCTGTGTGCTCTTCTTCCTTGTCACTCAGCTCAGACTCATCCTTCAGTTAGCTAGCTCCCTTTGGGAAAGTTCAATTCCTTTGTGATGTGACATTTTGTCAGTAGAGGGCACTGGAGAGATGGTGCAGGCTCCCCAAGGCCTCATGGCTATGCACATCAGTCAGCAGCATCAAAGGCCAGCAACCACCCTTCTTTTCTCCTTGACCAGTGCTGGCCAGAGTGCCTCTGTCCAGACCTTTCCCAGTGAACAAACAGCTTTCCTGACAGCCACAGGGCAATTTTCCAGCAAGTTTTAGAAGATGGACCCCCAAGTCCTAACAATCCAGCACCCCCGACACCTGTCACCCACTTCTTGTGATCTGCAGTCCCTGGTAGGGTACAAACCCTGCTCTGGGTGAGTGTGGCTCTCCCTGGTGCCTTGACCTCAGTCCTGCATGGTGGTTGCTCCCCATCATTCCCGAGTTCTTGTGGTGGGTACCCTGTGCTCCAATCTGCCTTCTTCCTCCTTCATACACATTTTCCCTGTCTGGTGACTGTATGGCCCCCTCTAGGTACCATAATGCAAGTCTGATCTCAGCCTAGTATCATAGATACTCCCTAGAAGACAGGACAGGTCAGACTGCTCAGCTCACTAGCTGACATCTCAGGGTCGGCAGTTCAGTGACACTTTTATAAACTGAAAATATGTCCCTGAGTAAGGTTCTATAAGATTTTTTTTTTTTACAGGGACTCCTACATGCCTGGGACATACTACAGCTGACAATGTGTCCTGTGGTGACTGAGCAGGTGTCATCTGTGACACTAGAACTCTTGGGCATGGACTGAGCTAGATCCTTTCATCATCCACAAAGTATGACCAAGCACCTTATTTTGAGTGTTCCATGGAAACCATGAAGCTTGATTCATCCCCTTCATGAGAACCAAAGGGACTCGGGCTGTGCATCCTGGCTGAACAGATGCCTATCCCCAAGGGTGCCTAGGGAGAGGGGCAGGTGGGCTGGTCTGAGGCCTGTGGGCTTGCTGGTGGTGCTAAGTCATACCCTAGTCTATTCTGTGCCCCCACAAGGCCCAGAAGAGGTGAAGCAGGTTCTCAGCACGGGAAGAGATCACTTTCATATCAAAATCTTCAGAGAATGAGGCAAGATGTGTGTCTCTTTTCATGATAGGCCTGTATGCATTTCCATCAGTGGCCAGAGGGTAAGTCTGGACAGGAAGGACATGGCCCCTCCCAGCCAGGCTGAGCCCCTCACCAAGCACTGGACACAGCTGAAGACATATAGCTGGTGAGAACTGGTCTCCTATGAGGTGGACTCACCAGACGCCTTCAGGACACCCCTCAAAAGCACTCTGGCTTCTCACCAGGATCCCTGCATGCCCAGCTGGCTGAGGCCTCCCCCCTTCTGCACCTTACTGGTACTGCACAGAACACAGGAATGGTGAACATCACGTGCCAGGAGAGCTAGAGGCAGGACAGCAGTGCACAAAGCTGTGGGCCCACAGGGCAGGGAAGACAAAGGCAGATGCCACAGAAAGCATGGACAGCCTGGGCAGAATCCCAGTGTACTAAAAGCTTCAGGATTGTGTGCCCCCTTCTGCCACTTTTCCACACTCTCCCACAAGCCTAAAGCTCCTTTGTCCAGGAAACTGCCTGATTGCCATTCTGAGCCCCATAGCACTTGTGCCCAGCACAAGCCTGTGTGGTCACTCACTTCTTTTGCTTGGCTGGGCTAATGTGGGAAGCTCCACAAGGGCCCATCTCTGCCCCAGACCCTTCTCAGAACAACCCACCCAGGGGATTGGTCACACTCTACACTAAAACAAGACGCCTGGGGCATGTTGATGTGTGCGAACAACCCAAAGATGTTTTCTATGAATGTGTTTGTGAAGCTGTGAAGAGCTAGCAAAAGGGAGTTCCTTGAAGCATTGATGCAGCTGGGGTGGCCATTAGACAGAGGAAGGAAAGGGCTGAGATGTAACTGCACAAGGAAAGAAAAGAATTAAGACAAGCACTGGCCAAGGGGAACAGTAGGCACAGCAGTTAGACCAGTGCTGCAAAGCTGGGCTCCTCTGCAACTGGGGTGACAGATGCCTTACAGAGTTTAGGACCATAGAACACAAACTTCAATTAAAGAAGCTTTCCAGGGCTGGGGATTTGGCTCAGTGGTTTCGCCGCCTGCTGCGCAGGTGGGAGGACCCGAGTTTGATCCCCAGTACCAAAAAATAAAAAAAATAAAATAAAGAAGCTTTCCAGAAGGAGCTTACAAATCTGGTTTTGAAGACCAATCTTTAAATTTCCCAATTTTATCTCATATGATAAGTTGAAGAAATCTTTTAGTAAAACACAAGGAGTATCCTCTTTCACACCTGGGCTATGTCTTCCCTCCAAGACAACAGCTAGCAAAGCTGCTACATTCATATAGGAGAGAGACGGAGAGCAGCAAGCACAGCGCACAGCATGCAGGGAGGGCTGGGCCCAGAAAGAGTCCCACCCTCTGGACCCTCTGGGCACCTTCCTTCTGTGGGAAGTTCCAGCCTGGCAGGAAGTCCTCAGAGTTAGCCAGGTCTGAGTGACCAGGACATGGGCACCTCAGGCCAGACCAGCAAAAAATCTATGGCAGCGGGAGTCTTCCTCACCCCTGGAACACAACAGGGCCAGGCATTATATCAGTTACCTATTCATCTCAAGATCATTCAGGCGGGCAGAGAGATCCTCAAGGCGGTTGATTTGTTTGTGGCACTGGCTACAGTAAAACTCAAAAGCCTCGTCAGTGAGGATGCTGTGCAGCTTTGCAGCAAGCAGGTCGGAGCTAGAAAGACAGAAGTGTCAGTTCAGGACAGGGAAGGGCCTGTCAGGTCATCTGTGATGCCCCAGGAGGCCCAAGGAGGACAGAATAGGGCCTGAGAAAAGCAAGTTGGAAGAAAATGAAGTGTGGAACATTCTGGCTCTCACTTCTGGACATCTGTGAGTTCCTTCACCATCACTGTGAGAAGTCTGTTCCCCCTGAAGAGACCAGGACACCCACCAGCTGAAGCAGTGGTGCTGGGGTGAGGGTTTGTAGTTCTGCTGCTGCACACACCTGCCCCCTTCTGGACAGTGGACAGAACAAGCACAGTCAAGAGCTTCATTGTAAAATAAACTTTAGCAGGAGGTAAAAAAGTGCCCTGCTTCCTCCTCTGTGGAAAGCATACTGAGAGCAATGTGTGTTTCCAGGTAGAGTTTACTTGCTGTACTATTTTAATAACTGCTCTAAAACCCACCAATATCAAGAACCATGTGTGAATGGTGCTTTGCTAATAGTTTCATGCTTTTAAAAATGTGTTCTAAAAACTCAAAATTCTATTTTCTGGTTGCACTAGCTGACCATGCTGTGACTTCATTTCAGTGGTACTCAGTGCACTAGTGGACAGGATGTATCTTCTATCAGAAGCTGAGCTGGAGGCAGCCTCGTCCTGGGAGCAGGGGCCATAGGCTTTATTTATTTATTTATTTATTTATTTATTTTTGGTACCAGAGATCGAACTTGGGTCCTTCTGCTTTCGAGGCAGGCGGCAGAACTGCTGAGCTAAATCCCCAGCCCTGCCCATAGGCTTTTGAAACTAATCCACACATTAACTTTTTTTCCCTTTCTTTCTTTCTTTTTTTTTTGTTTTTTGAGACAAGGTCTGGCTATGTAGTTCAGACTAGCCTTGAACTCATATGTACCCTAGGCCGGGCTCAAACTTGCAGAGATCCTCCTGCCTTAGCCTCCCAAGTGCTGGTATTACAGGTGTATACCAGTATGCCCAATTCCACAGGTTAATTTAAAGGAAGATGGAAAAAAATGTAGCAAAGAAGTTATACTTTAGACTGAAAACAGTGGAAAAGAGACAGGAACAAACTATACCAACAGGAAGAGACTACCACAGCAGGACTGAGCACTGGGCTCAGAAATACCAAGTCCTGCTGGAAAGGCCCACTGCCTTCCACTACAGTTCCCCAGGACACACCCTGGGGAAGTGAGTACCTGGGGGCACCTGGAGGACCCCACCTCATGAACAAGGGCAGCTTCAGCTTCAGGGAGGCACATAAGCAGGAGGGCCCCTGGCTCAGCCTATGGTCTGGCCTGCCCCTCCTGTCACTGCCCTCCCCAGGTCTAGGCCATGGCAACAACTGGGCAAGGGAAGAAGCTTATGGTTCCGGGTTTAGAGATTGCCAGCTTCTGTTGTTTGCAGAGGTAAGGAACTTCAGGAACCCAACAATAAAAGCCCAGCATGGGTGGGCCAGCCAGCCAGGCCTGAGGCCCACTTAAAAGGCAGAAGTGTCCTCTGATGAACAACAAGGAGGGCCTGCCCAGGCCCCATCTAGATACACGTAGACTCTGAATTCTGCCACAATCTCGAGCAAAGCCCTGAGAAAAAGTGAGTGTCTGGCCCATTAGAGGGTATGGTTCAATTTATTCAAGACCAGAACTTTCTACAGAGTTTGGAGATGCCAGGAAATGAATCTAAAGACTTGCTTGTGACTTGAAAGCCTGCCTCAAAGTCACTCATTGACAACAAAACGATACATGACTAGCAGTTAAGGAACCTGCAAGCCGAGTTCTGCACATGGCTCCCAGCCTCGTGGGAAAGATGAGGCCTCCACAGCTGGATGATCTGGGGTGATAACTGGGCAAGAGGAGCATTAGCCAACTCTAAACCAAGTAAAACCTTAAACTTTTTGAGTGTTTAACTACATTACACTGAATAAAGCAAGTTTTCTCTTAGCAATTTCTAAACAAAAAAGAAAATTATCTGGATAACTAAACATGGGAAGGGAGAGAAGCACATACTCAATGCAGGGGTGCCTTACCTGGGGGTGAGAAAAGCAGGATCGCTGCACCCCAGCTCCCCATTGCAGAGGGTCTCTGGGGACAGCTCTACCTCGGTGCCTTCCCCATAGTCCTCAAAATGCTCCTCACCACCAATCACCATGACGTCAGCCTGGCCACGGGTGCGAGACCTGCAAAGGCAATAGAGGCAATTCTGACTCCAGGCTACAGGCACTAGCTGGCTAAGGGAGAGGTGTGGACTGTGCTTTCCAGCAGAAGTGTGCTACAAATGACAGAACTGTATGTCACTGTCATGTGAGCCATGTTAAAAAAAAAAAAAAAGTAAAAAACAAGTGAACCTGATTTTAACAAAATACTTAGCCCACACAAAAACAGTGCTGTTTCAAAGATGTGAGATTTTTCACATACTCTCTTCCTTGGGAAGTGTGTGCTGTGCACTCCAGCATATCTCAGTCTGTATAGGTCACACTGCCCATGCCCAGCAGCCCACATGGGTGGCACAGGTCCATACAGACCCAGGTCCAGAGCCAAGCACCCAAACTCTGCTTTAGGGAGTGGCTATCCTCATATGGCTGCTGACCAAGAGGATTCAAACCTCTCTTTTAATTTAAAATTTGGAATAGCAGATTTCAATAGGGAAAGGGAGGGGACTTCCAAGCATCCATGCCACTGTACTGAAAGGGAGGGTAACTCCTTCACACCAACTTTCTGGAAAAATGGAGCTCATAGCCCTGGCTCTAAGATGCTCCAGATCTTGGGAAACACCTGTGATTTTGGCAGCTCCCTGTCAGAGGAAACCTGCAAAGATGACTGTGTGGCTGCTCTACTCAGAGGAAGAAGCCCATAGCATGAAGGGACTGCCCATAGCAGAAGCATGTAGGAGGTCAGAAGAGTACTGTGCCCAGAGCACGCATGTTCAATAAGGGAGCAAGCTCCAGTTCACATCCACTATCACATCATCAACCAGTCCTGGAGCAGGTTAGGACGTGTCTGAACATGTGTGCTTTCAGCACAGATGGTGTCCCACCCTCTGTTTCCCCCTGCATGGTGTCAATTACCCGAGGTAATCTGAAGCTCAAAATTATTAAATGGAAAGTTCTAGAAATATACAATTCCTAAGTTTTTAATAACTTTTTATTACAGAATACTGTTATAATTTTTCTATATAGTAATTAATTTCTTACTGTGCCTAATTGATAAACTAAACTTTATTTGTATATATAGGAAAAACTGTAGGATTCGGTACATCCACAATTTCAGGCATTCCTGGGGGTCTGGGGATATATCCCTTTTGGTAAGGAGGGCTCTAGTCCTAGTGTGTTCTCAAACTTTACCCAAACACACTAAAATGGGCGCTGCATCACTACTTTATCATTCTTCTAACATTATCTCCAACTCAGTCATTATCTGTCAATAATCAGGCCATTTTGCAGGGCAACAGGAAGCAACAATTTCCATGCTATTTTCCATTTCTTAATATTAGGTAGTTATTTTAACATATACCCAGATCCTGTAAGAGAAAACTCTTCAAACAGAGGAGGGGGAACCACCAGGGGGAAAGTGCACTCAGAAAGCCCCTCCTGCCACTTGACATCCCTGTCCCATGGGGCCAGGTGGGCAAGACCTTGTCTTCCCCCAGAAAGGTCAAGAGGGGCTAGATGACCATCACCTCTCCTTCCATCCATCCCCATATCTAATAGAACAGACAAGGGCCATGCTTATTGTGAGAGGACCAAGAGGCTCAGACCACTCTGCCTGGTCTGGATGTCTTGTACCTGTATGCACCAAACACACTTCCTTCACTAAGTCCACAGGAAACAGGTGACAATTCCTTGTCACTAGTAAGTTTCTCAAAACATCCATCCCCCAAAAGATTTTTTTGAGACAAGATCTCGCTAGGTAGTTCAGGTTGGTAGGGTGTGGTGGGACATGCCTGTAATCCCAGCACTCAGGAGGCTGACGCTAGCCCAAACTACATAGTGACACTTTGTCTTGAAAAAATCAAACAAACAAAGAAAACTAGTAAGAAAATAGAAAATGTTTCAAACTGCCCCTGGTATTTAGCCTGACAGCTTCAGGTTCAGAGACTTCTCAAGATTTGGCATTTGTTTGGTTACTTGACTGAAATTAAATTTAAATACAAGAGTTTGCCTTAACTTTAGAAATACTTGTAAGAAAAAAAAAGAAATACTTGTAAGAGGGCCGGGGATTTAGCTCAGTGGTTCTCCGCCTGCTATGCAAGGACCCGAGTTCAATCCCCGGTACCAAAAAAACCAAAAAAGCAACCAAACAAAAAAATACTTGTAAGAAAAGATGTGGGCAGACACAGCAATCTTTTCTCTAGAACTTCATGATACCCTATGTTTCACCCTACTCCACCCCTTCCCACAGCAAGCCTCACGTGCCAGCGTCACCTCACACTCCATCTCCACATACACATGGGCCTACATTCCTGACAGACATATTTCCTGGTCTCCACAGAGCCAAGCCTGCCTCAGACCCACCTGGATTCACATCCCACTCATCTCCACAGACAATTATACCCCATGCAACACGAAACTGAAAACCCAAATAAATAGTGGGAGATGTTATGCTCAAGGATCTGCAATATTGTGAGGACGTGAATCTCCCCAAGTTAATCTATAGATCAACAAAATCCTAACCAAAATCCCAGTAGTCCCTTCCCACCCCAAAACTACAATCTGATTCTAGAATCCACTTGGAAATGCAAAGAGCCAAAAGGCACCAAAGCAACCCTGAAGAATAAGGCAGGAGAACTTATACCAGCAGACAGCATGACCTGCAATCATTCTGGGATAAAGAGTGTGGTGTTGGCCCAAGAATGGATAGAGTGCAGAAGAAGCTCACACAAAGCTGCCTCATAGGATCAATGACAGCCATGACAACAGAGCAAGGAGGAATCTTTGAAAATGGAGACCGAGTCTATTAGATACCATCTGGGAAAAAATGAACCCTGCCTCACATCACACAAAGAACCAGTTATAGTGCTTGACTAGCATGTGCAAGGCACTGGGTTCAATCTCCAGCACCACATGAGGGAGGGGAGAGGGGAAGGAAGAATCGGAGAGGGAGGGAGGGAAAGAACCAGTTACACAGGGATCATTTATGTCTAAAACATGAAGGTAAAACAATTTTTTTTTTGGTACCGGGGATCAAACTCGGGTCCTTGTGCTTACGCAGCAGGAGGCAAAACCACTGAGCTAAATCCCCAGCCCAAAACAATGTTTTTAAAGGAAGGCAGATGTAAACATCAGAGTCACTGTAAAGTGAAAGATTTCTTTCTTTCTTTTTTGGTCTGGTGGTACAAGGCATTGAATCCAGGGTCTCATGCATGTTAGTTGAGTCTTGTACCACTGCACTGCATTCCCAGTCCAAGATTTCTTTTTTTGGTACTGGGGATTGAACTCAGGACCTTGTGCTTGTGAGGCAGGCACCGGAACCACTGAGCTAAACCCCTGGCCCCAGTCCAAGATTTCTTAAATGGAACACAAAAGTGCTTATCATAAAAGAAAAATGGATGGACCATACTATAGTAAAATTAAAAACATATGCTCTTCAAAGACACCACGAGGGAAGTAAAAGAGAGGCCTGAGAGTAGGAAAAGGTCTCTGTAATACACATCCACTAAAGAACTCACATCTGAAATATGCTGAGTCCTACAAATTAGCAGAAAAGCAGCAACACAATAGACCAGGGGCAGGGCATACTCTGCCATGATCTGTTTTTGCAGACAGTTGTCCTGGGGCACACATCCAGGCCGTTTTGCTGACGTGTGGTCTGTGGCTGCTTCTGTATCTCAACAGCAGAGCTTGGCACAGAGACCACATGGCCTGTAAGCAGAAACACTGACAAACTGGCATTGCACAGATGTCTGCAGACCTCTGGAAACAAAACAAAACAAAATATACTTTACAGAAGAAGAGCAACCAGGAAAGGTGCTCAGCCTTCAGGCACCTGTGAAATGCCAGCAAGAACTACATTGCAGCAGAGCTACAGACCTAGAGGCTGAGCATGAGCCAGAAGGGAGTACTGGGATCCCACACAGCTGGCAGGGGTGAAGCTACTCTAACCCCTTTGCAGATGTCTGTAACTACAAGAACACCAGGTAATTTAAAGCTGCAGGTACATTCTCCCAGTGACCCACTATCCCACTCCCAGGGACAAGGTCCCAGGACACCTAGATGTTTATAGCAGTCATATTTTAAAAACTGAAAATAGTAAGGTACCTAAATGTCCCTTGACATTAGAATAAATTAAAAAGTTGCAGCATATTAATACAAAGGAATACTAGAATAACAATAATAAATGATATACGACTACGCAGAAAAATAGGAACGAATCTCATAGCCACAGCAGCAAGTGAAAGAAGCCAGGTGCTGAGAGGAATCTTCTGTGTGCCTGCATTCATGTAAGATGGGAAACTGGGCAAGGCTTGCTGCCCTAGGAACCCCAGTGCTGGGGAGGTCCAAGGGCACCTTGGTGCAGCTGTGATTTTCTTAGCCTGTGAGCAGGCACATGGTGTAGTCAGTGTGAAGAACCAGGTGGCCATGCACTTGTGCCATGGCCACTTAAGACACTTAAAAGTGTGCTGTATATAATGGAGAGAAAATAAACTGTGAGGGGCAAATTGAACAGAAATAAAAGAGGAAATACAAAATAAAAACACTTCTAAACCTAATAAGCCTAGTGGCTTCTTGGGCAGCTTGATGTGAGGCTGAGCACGTTCTCTTTCCACCTGTCACTTCAGCAAGCTCCCTGCAAGTCTTCATCATGGGGCTACATACATCCTGGGAGAGGGACTAGACACGCGGTCTGGACAGGGTGCCATGAAGACATTCACTCCATGTTGTGTCCTCCAGCCCTGGCTTTAAGACCTGTGCTGACAAAATCCAAAAGACTGAATTAAAAGTTTGCCTCTTGTTATGTAACGTAATCAGGGTCATCCATAGTCAAGAAGAGCACTTCTTGGTGAGGAAGATAGTGGGAGAAGAGACTGTAGCCTTGTTCTGTGGGTGATTCTACACAGCAGGCCACCCACCAGGGGGCCTGGTATGGTACAGACCTGCCTGGAAGCAGCAGCAGTGCACCTTGGTTAGGCTCCTCCATGGTGTCCAGGCACTCAGAGGGCACAGCTGAGCTGCCTGCACTGTCGGCGTCCCCCTCAGGATGCAGTTCAGGGTGCACCAGGGTGCTGGTGTCCTCATCAGTGAAGGTCTCACACTCACTGTAGGTGCTCTCCGAGCCCATATATGCACTATCTGTCACCTCAGTGGCCTAGGGGAAAGAACCAACAGTTACCGTGGAGGCCATACTGTGGAAGGCTATACTGTGTGAGTGTTAAGGTAGCAAAAGCCCCAGCCACATCTCCAAACAGACATTAACTCATAAAACAGGATTTGTAGATTTGTAAAATTGTTTGTATTTTGGGTGCTGGGGATCATACCCAAGGCCTCCCATATGCTAGAAGTGTCTTGTCATTGAGCTATATCCCCAGCCCAACAATAGTTTTGGTCTTTTTTATTGTTGTTGTTACTAGGGATCGAATTCAGGAGCTTTTGCTTGCAAGGCAGGCGGCAGCACCACTGAGCTAAATCCCTGGCTTGTTTTGTTTTTTTGAGACAGGGACTCGCTATGTAGCCCAGGCTGGCTTCGAATTCATGGTAATCCTCCTGCCTCAACCTCCCAAATGCTGGCATTACAGGAATGCATCACCACACCCAGCCCAACTATAGTTTTTTTTTTTATTTTATTTTTGGTACGGGGGATCAAACTCAGGACCTTGTGCTTGCAAGATAGGCACAGCATCACTGAGCTAAATCATATCCACAAAGTTAATATCCAATACTGTAACAACGTACCTTTTTAAATTAAAAAGTTACCATCAACAGCTGTTTGTATGTTCAGAATATTACTGTGAAATCCAAAGTCAAATCTAAACTCAAAATACTCATTAATCGCTGGGCATGGTGGCACACACCTGTAAGCCAGCACTTGAGAGACTGAGGGAGAAGGACTGTCGCTCGTTCCAGGCTGGCCTGGGCTACATAGTGAGTTCAATGCTAGCCTGAACTACATAGTAAGACCCTGTCTCAAAAAAAAAAAAAAAAATCATTAATTATCTAGCTAACTTTGTTGATTGGTTAAATGTTTGCCTATCCACTAGACAGATCTGTTTTTACTTTTATGTACCCAGCACCTACTACAGGCCTGGCATATCATGGACAACAACATTTGTAGATCAAACAAACTTAAAACTAAAGAATCATTAAACTGGATATTTTCAATTTATGTCAACCTTCATTAAAATGAAATTGCAGGTTAGAAGTAGCCCCATTTCATGCTGAGAAGGTCTGAGGTTAATAATTTACAAACAAGATTTCAGAAAAGTTGCAGTAGTAGCAGGAAAATGATGCCCTTTGTACTCTGGGATTGGAATCATCAGGAATGTGAGGCACAGAGGGCTGCCCAGAGGACTCCCCAGTACACCTAATCCTCATCTGAGGATTCTCAGGCCTGGGCTGTGGGCTGGATGGGAGGTCTCACTTCCATCTTTGCCTACTACTGAAAATGTGTGACCTCAGACACATGACTCAACCCTGGAGCCTCTTCTGTAAACTGGGCTATAGATAATAATCTCACCAGGCATCTACCTTAAGGCATTGAAATAACACGACCAGGTGCTTTGCAAAGTACTAAAAATGAGACTGCAGGTTGCCTGCCTCTAGAGGTGGAAACACTTTGACTGTTATAAAGCCAGACTAAGACAGAGAGTACAAGCATTATGCTCACTGCAGGTGTCTGGGTGGTCATCCCATTTCCAAGGGAAAATCCAAGCCTCCCTAGAGTCTAAGGAAGTAATTCATAAAAACTACGGGCCAGGGATTTAGCTCAGTGGTTCCAGCACCTGCCTTGAAAGCTCAAGGTCCCGAGTTCGATCCCTGGTGCAAAAAACCCCACAAAATCCTAATCCATACATTGCATCCACTTCAAAATTCAAAACCAGAAGGTCACCCTAACAGGTGGCAGCTCCAGTTTTACACATCATCTGAAACAACTCTCTCTCCAGAGTAAGGCCAACCAGGACCACCACCACTTCATACCCCTACTCCACCACCTCATGCAGGGCCAGTTAGCACAAACTGCTGGCTTTAGGTGAGGGGAAGCTGTTAATCACCATGAAAGAACTATATATTCACAGGGGACGTGCTACTGGAAGATCACAGTTACAAACTCATCCACAGGGCACTTGGGAAACTCTCCACAGCCTCCTAAGAGGCCTGATAATTAGCAACAACAAAGGCCAGATTCTGCTCTTCAGTATTTAGCCAAAAACTTCTAAGAACATTGTTCCTGGTCACAAGGACAGCCCCACCATCCTCATGGTGTCTACAATCAAGCACTCAGTGCACTGAACAAGGGAAGTGGGGAACCCTCACCACCAGGGCCAATGAGGCCCCAACACTGATGGGGTACTGCTCTTCCAAAGACCCTTAGAGAGGGTTTCCTGTAAGCAACAGAACTTGACCTTTGAGGCTTGCAGAGGATTTTTCTTGCTTTTTGTGGTGATGCTGGTGAAGACTGAGGTGTGTGGGCATCAAGCATGGTGGGCAACTGCTCTCCCACTGAGCTGCACCCCCAGCTCGAGGCACACTTTCTAAAAACTCAACCATGGGCAGGGGATTTAGCTCCGCCTGCCTCACAAGTGCCAGGTCTCAAGTTCAATCCCAGGTACCAGAAAAAATAAATTAATTTGTCTTTTTTTTTTTTTTTTTGTACCGGGAATCAAACTCAGGACCTTGTACTTGCAAGGCAGGCAGCGGAACCACTGAGCTAAATCTCTGGCCCAAATTTTTTTAAAAAGTCAACCCTGCTTCTGACAGGCACCAGGGCTCCTCCTGGGCCATGTGGACCCTGGGTTCCCAAGGAGCAGCTCAGGTGTTTTAACAACAAATCAGTGTTTTCTCGCCCTCAGATGCAGTTCACACTCTACAAGATTCTCCTCCCAGAAAGGGAAGGAGGTCTAATGCTAGACCCAGCTCAAGTCACAGACCTCTTGTCCTGCCCAAGTGGGTGGAGGCACCCTAGACAGGGTGGCTTATGACACAATTACTGGTGCTGAATGGTGGGGCAAATGCACAACTCTGAGTCTCCATGCTCTCTGTGTGAGGAGCAGGGTGCTCTGCCAAGCCCTGCACTCACACATTGCATTTGGGGAGCTGCTCACCCCCTCCCTACTTCTTCCCTTCCCCACCCTCATTTCTCAAATGAGGGATCCTGCTAGGTGTGGTGGTGCACGCCTGTAGTTCCAGCACTTAGGAGGCTGAGGCAGGAGGATCATCATAAGTTTGAGGCCAGTCTGGGCTATATAGAGTTCAAGGTCAACCTGAACTACAAAGTGAGACCCTGTCTCAAAAAAGCAAAAGTATAAAACAAAATAATAATAAATAATAATAATAAATATATTTTTACATGAGAGATACTCTTGTACCTCGCCACTGCTGCAGAGGGGCTGAAGCCTGTCAGAGGATGTGAACACAGTTTGCACTTACTCCTTTATCTCCTCCAAACTATAAATAAACAGGGTAATGAAGGTAGGATCTCACAGTACTGGTATAAATACTCAGGGACCCCCAGTGGGCCAGAGAGCAAAGAACCTCTTAATTGGAAATGATGCTCCAGGGAGGGAACAGCTGAGACAGGGAGGGTAAAGGAACCCAGTTCACAGGTGCCGTGGAGCTACTTCCTCCTGAGATTCACATCTGCAGCCAGCTGCTGCTGGGAAGACCTGCCCTCAGTGTCATCAAACCAAGTAGCAAATTAGTTTTGGGGGAGGACTTTCCAGTGAAGCACAAAAATCAACCTGAAGCACAGAGAATGGCCTTACCCTGCCAGGTAATGTCTGTCATGCAAACAGGACCTACGTTTGCTCAGAAGCCAACAAATATATGCTACCAACTTCTTTTTTTTCTTAAATTGTCAGTCATTTTAATCAGGTTAAATATCAATGCATTCTAAGTAGTACATCTGTCTCTACATATATAACACTTATTGTTTCTTAGTATTTTATCAGTTAAGAAAAAAACCAGAGCCCAGGATTTAGCTCAGTGGTGCTGTAACTGACTCACAAGTCCAAGGTCCTAAATTTGATCCCCGGTACCAAAAAAAAAGAAAAAGGAAAAATGAGCCATAGGGCTGGGGGTGTAGCTCAGTGGTACTGTGTCTTTCTGGCAAGCACAAGGTCCTGAGTTCGATCCCCGGTACCAAAAAAAAAAAAAAGGAGCCAGGCATGATAGCTCATGCCTCTAATCTTGGCACTTGGGAGGCCGAGGCATAAGGATCACTGTGAGTTTGAGGGCAGCCTAGGCTACATGGTGAGTTCAAAACCAGCCTGAACTACATAGTGAGACCTTGTCTCAAAAAAAAGAAAGAAAAATGAGAATTTTGAAAGGGATGTTAAAAAGAACAAACCAAACCAAACATCCAATGATCAGTTGGCATGGGTAAAAAAAAAATCAGTCTATTAGAAACACATCATTTAAAAGCCTGATCTATTCATGTTTTAAATCTTTTAGGACTTGATATAATGGAATTATCCAAACACGTTGCTTTAATACATGTTTTATCAACTCAGGATGCTATATTATATCACTTTATAAAATACATACTTACTGGAGAAGTTGATTTTACGTCACATTTAATTCTACTATATTTTCCTTAACTTCACTCTAAACTCTGTATATATTTCTATTGGAAATAATTTAACCTCAAGATACAATAAAATATTCTCTGAAGGACATTTAAGATTTTTAAAAATAATACTCACAATTAGCCTCAAGTAATGAGACAAATAGTTTGAAATATAAGTGTAAGAATATATGATAAAATCAGATATACTAAGCTGAAAAACATCACCCTTCACCTCTCCATTTCTCTCTAGAATTACGTGCAATTCTAGTTGCCCAAACCCGGTTTTCTAGCTCATGTGAAAGCTGTTTGCTTTGGATTAGAATGAACGTGACTACGACTAAACTGGGAAAAAGAATGAAGCCAAACTGATTTTCCATCTATACGATTTGTTAAACTATGGAGCATCAACAAATGAAATATTATTCACTTATAAAAAGAATAAGGAAATTCTCTGTTATGATATAGAAATCTCTAAAGATTATAATCTTTCATAAAAACAGTAAGGCATAGAAGAGTATAAATAATGTCATCTTTCTGTGTAAGGAAGAAATAAGATTACATATTTGTATTTTCTTTATGTAAATATA